CCCCCCCCCCCCCCCATAGTGCTGGGATTACAGCCTGTGTCCGGCTCACTTTTTCCCCTTACTGTTGGGAGTTTGCACTCAGGCCCTTGCACATGCTAGACACTTTTTACTCCTGTGCAACATCCCGAGTAATCTGGTCTCTCTTAATAGATGGTAGCCTTATTTCTACTAGCTGCTATAGTAAGTAACCAGTGTGATTATTTGATTGTAGTTGAGCAAAATATTTTTCAGAACTGATCATTAGACATCTATAAAAGTCAGTTTTGTATTGTTTTGTTTTGTTTTTTTAACTTTTTCTTACACTTCTTGTTTTTAAACATGTTTGAGTCTTTTACTTGCATGAATGTCTGCACTATGTGGGTGCCTGGTGCCGGAGGAGTCCAGAAGAGGGAGTCAGATTTCCTGGAACTAGAGTTACAGAGGGTTGTGAGCAGCCGTGTAGGTGCTGGGAATTAAATGAGTGCTCTAACCAGTCAGCCTCTCTCTAGCCCTAAACTTAACATCTTTTGTTGTTGAGTGTGAGCTGCAGTTTTAATTGTACTTTGAAATTCTGTGTAGTCATTAGTCTCTTTTTACTATTTAAAATGATATACTTTTATAAAGCTTTTTGCATTTTGGCAAAGCACAATAAGCTGCAGAAAAGTATGAGACTGAGTATTAAGCTTTATCGGGGTTAGGATGAGACTTAGGTTAGTGTATTTACTTTCTTTACTAGGTAATTTTTTTAAAAAAAGAGATTTATTTATGTATGTTAATACACTGTCTTCAGACACACCAGAAAAGGACATCGGATCCCCATTACAGATGATTGTAAGCCACTATGTGGTTGCTGGGAATTGAACTCTGGACCTGTGGAAGAGCAGCCAGTGCTCTTAACCGCTGAGCCATCTCTGCAGCCCCTTTACTAGATAATTTTAAGAATGGAGAATAAAGATAAGAAGGAACAGAAACACATCATCTGCTTGGTCCCTCTAAAGCTTTTAGATGTGGACAGATTGAGAAGAGTTGCTCATCGGAAGGAGACTATTTTTTTTTTTTTTTTTTTTTTTAAAAGATTTATTTATTTTATTTATGAGTACACTGTAGCTGTCTTCAGACACACCAGAAGAGGGCATTGAATCTCATTACGGATGGTTGTGAGCCACCATGTGGTTGCTGGGATTTGAACTCAGGACCTCTGGAAGAGCAGTCAGTGCTCTTAACCGCTGAGCCATCTCTCCAGCCCCGGAAGGAGACTATTAACTAACTACTTCTGAGTCTACATTGCTTGTACTGACTTTGGAGTTACACAGAAAGGAGTTCATCCCACCCCAAGATGTACTTATTCTTTTATGTTTATGGATTGTTTGCATGTATGTATGTACGTATGTATATGTACCTTGTGCATTTCCAGTGCTCACTCATGGCAGTCAGAAGAGGCATCAGATCCTCTGGAAGTGGTTACAGATGGTTGTGAGCTAGCATGAGGGTGCTAGGAACTAAACCTAGATTCTTTAATTAGGCATGCTCAGTTTATATTCTGTACAATCAAGTAGTATATATTTTGTTTATCTGGGGCTCAGTCGAAGCAGTTTATGTAGTTTAGTGTCTGCTCTGTCAGATTGTGGATCATTGATAACAAGAAGTACTGATTTAGTTACCTGATCATCTAACTTTAAGAGTAAATGGAGGAATGGCTGGGGTTGGGGTGTCAGTTCGTAAGTAAGGATTTAGATGTCTCCAAAAGTCTAATTTTATTGAATGAATCATTTCACTTTATACTTAATCATTGTATGTTCACTGTAAAACAACTATTATCCTGCAAAACTTTTATGATATGCTTAATGAAAATATCTTAAAGATAAATCTATAGGGCTGGAGCAATGGCATAGTAGTTAAGATCTAATTTAATATTTTACAGGAATTATAAAACTAATATACTTAGCATATTCATAATGTGCTATTTTCTGGGGAAAAATAGAATCCATATTGTCTGTATCCTAGAATTCAGCTGGAATCAAAAATACTGGCTGGGTGAAATTGCACTTGTACTGGGTTCTTGCCATTATTCCCTAAACTAATACAGTATAATCACTTTTTAAATATAAACATTTACATTGTTTAAAGAAGTCTTGATAATTTAAAGTATGTGAAAAGATGTATCATTTATATGTAAATACTGCATCATTTTATATAAGAGGGTTGAACATTCTGAGTAGATTTTGCTACTGGGTTTTTCTCTTATATAGCATTGAATACATTTTGTCATGCAGAGTATAGCTCCCCCTTTCTTATAATGAAATAACTATTCTTTAAATGGAATGATTATGCTTTTTTTTAAAATAGGGTTTTTTTTTTTTTTTAAATAGATGCTGTCCTTTACTGGTAGTACCAGTCGTTCAGTCGTTTTTGGTATTCTAGAAATACCAAAACAGTGTTGTGCCTATCAGGGAAAAGGAGAACCCCAATAAATGGTATATATTATATACAATTTTTCTATAGTAGGAAAAATTATAGGGTATAATTGGGGGAAATTGTGTAAAAATCTTGAAAGAAGGGAAATAGTGCTAATGAAAAAGATTGAAACATTGGCTTAAGAAAATGACTGGGATGTTGGTCATTTTTCTATCCACCATACCTTTAAGTCTGTTCTTTGGGAAGCAGTTCTGTGTATCTTGTAGGAAGAAAACAATCACCCTGTAGTATAAAATCTTGAGAGAGAGCCCCCCTCTCTTTTTTCTTCAGCTAAGGCTTGCTTGCCCGTGTTCCAGGCTTGCTTCTGCCCCAGTCTTCTCCCAGCTGCTAGGATTACTAGGACTGGGCTGGTTGTACAACCATTACTGGATTTTGATGCCTTGCTTGCTGTTAGTGATTCAGAATAGTAGGGATTGAGAAAAATTACTTTGTTACTCTTTTCATAAACTCTAAGAGCTGTTCTTTTGTTTGTTGTTGTTTCCTTTTTTTTTTTCTTCCAGACAAGGTCGCATTATACCCTGGAAACCATTATGTAGATCATGCTAGCCTCAAACTCACAGATAATTTACCTGGCTTTACCTCCAAGTGCTGAGATTAAAGACGTTGGCACCATTCTAAACTGCCTAAGAGCTGTTCTTGCTAGACAGTAGATATGCACCTTTATTGATGATTAGATCCTAGAAACATGAATAAGGTTGGATGACTTTCCGAATCTGAAATAATTAGGATATTTTGAAATTTTCCATTTTTGAATGCCATTGAAATGTATTTGAAAAAGACTTCACATAGCAGAACTTGATGCTGTTGATTTTCTTTGACAGTAGAAAGGCTTTAGTTTATTTAGTATGTCTTCAGATTTTATTTTTATATCTGACTTGTAATAGGCATTTTGCTTAATTTCAGAGTATGTACATTTTCCACTTGAGGTAGAAGCACTTGGATGTGTTCTGGATTTTTTTAAAGTAAGGAATCTAAAAAAGGAAGACTACAGATACTACTAACTATCCTTTGAGTTGCTTTCTTAGCAATGGCAGTATATATATTCAGATTCATTAATGTTTTTTCACCAAGTCCAATGTATACCCTTGGGGTTACGACTACGATCTGAGGTCTTAGAACACAGCTAACTAGTCCACATGGAGATCAGCCTCCAGGACCATGGTCTCAATTAGCAACCCTTCAGTCACTTGGAAGCAATCCAGCTACCAGACAACATGGCTGATGATGATCTTCCTTATGAATGTGGAAAATACGCTTGGTCTCACTGTAGGAAGTCATGGTCATACAAAAATGGCGATTGTAATGCCCAGGTCAGTGTAGCTTCAGTTACTGCCTGTAAATGATGGTCTACTTTTTTTTTTTTTAAATATTTATTTATTTATTTTATTGATGAGTACACTGTTGCTGTCTTCAGACACACCAGAGGAGGGCATCCAATCTCATTATGGATGGTTGTGAGCCACCATGTGGTTGCTGGGATTTGAACTCAGGACCTCTGGAAGAGCAGTCAGTGCTCTTAACCGCTGAGCCATCTCTCCAGCCCGATGGTCTACTTTTATAAACATTTTCACACATGTACAACTAACGAAAATTATATCTTAGTCTTTTCCTGTAAGTGAAAATAGAAATTTAAATACTTGTAGTCTTGTATTCAATAACCCTAGCATTCTTTTTTACTTCCCTCAGACTGTAAAACGTAGTTAATCTCTGTTGAGGATGGAAACACAACTTCCTTTGAATAACTATAATAATTTTGTTTGATGTGCAGAACCAGCTTGTAAAAGTGCCCAGCTATACCGTTTTTATATCTTTGAAGACTGTGGGGCCACTGTTGGAGCCACGTGACCAGAAGCTCAGCTAGACTAACAAAGCTCACCTGTTTTCTAATTTTTACTCTCAGTGCAGTTTGAGTAGCTTCTTTGTTTGATGAAAACTCATTACTTAGACATTATTTTGGCATCATTGTACATTAAAATCAATGGCATTGTTCAGTGACTTATCTTAATTTCTGCCTTTTGATGAAGGTGGCTTTTCTTTGATTTACTTTGATTTCTTAAGTTTCTTATTAATTTAGACTTACAGACACACCCTGCCTTGTAATAAGTAAAGTTGGTATGTAATATTAAATTTTTAAGAAGTTACATAGTTCATCATTAATGCAGATTACCTAAAAAATAGAGATTTGGGGTCTCTATGGCTTTGTCTATGAATAGTGATTCCCCTTTTAGGGTTTTTTCCCCCTTTTTCTTTAAAATATGTCTTTTTGGGTGAAAAATGGAACAATAGCCCTGCTCTCTTCGTGCCTACAGTATCTTTTGATCATATAACAAATTTTTACTTGATCATATTATATTCCCTAAAACTAACTCTTGAATGCCATATGTATATGGCAGTCCTTAGTAAATTGTATACATGGGAGATTGTTATGCCTAGCTATATCTCTTAAATTGTTTTTTTTTTTTTCCTCTCAAATTTCCCTCAAGGGTAAATAGTTCACATGGATATCAATAGAGTTACTCAGTCATAGAAAGGGATGTTGACAAATTGAATTACTTTTTTCCTCCTCAGATCAGTTTCTTTGTTGTTTTCCTCTTCCTGGTTCATCAGTTAGGCACATGAGTGACATCCTAGCATTGCTTTGATTCTGCTGATGACAGTGGCAGTTGTACTAACTCGTGTGTGTGTGTGTGTGTGTGTGTGTGTGTGTGTTTCACTTGCTAATGTACTTGGCTAGATTTTAAAAGTCAGGTAAGTAGTAGCTCTTTGTTTACTGAGAATAACACAATTATTGCAAGATAGCACTTTGAATAGTTTTACGTATTTTTTTATTTTACTAGATAATTAAGATTTTGAAACATGTATATATCCGTACATATATATCTATCTCTGTGTGTATGTGTATTTTTGTCACCTATGACTTAGCTTATAGAAACATTAGCTTTCTTAGAGTAGGCAAATAAGATCTGAATACCAAAGAAGAAAATACTGGTGTTTTACAGTGGTCACATATTAAAGGGTTGTAATACCTTTATGTTTGTGTGTGATAGTATTATGACAAACATTCTTTTGAAACTTACCTATTTGCATTTATGTGTGGTTACTTTTAAGAATATTTTACTTTCAAGGAAGGTATTAGTTAAGTCACCATTCAAGAACCCATCTGTTATATAAAGTAAAAAGAGACTTGTATTAAAATCCTTGGGCCTTTTCCTGTCTTTATCAGATTTTTAAAATAAGAAAGTTGAATGAATCGGTATTCACTTTTATTTAGTATCTTGACTGTCATATAATCTAGAACATTATCTTTGTCTCAGGAAGCGGAATATGGTGGGCATGATCAGATAGATTTGTATGATGATGTCATCTCTCCATCTGCAAATAATGGCGATGCCCCAGAAGATCGGGACTACATGGATACTCTTCCACCAACTGTTGGTGATGACGTGGGTAAAGGAGCAGCGCCAAACGTCGTCTACACTTACACTGGAAAGAGAATTGCATTGTATATTGGAAATCTAACATGGGTAAGGACCGTTAACACAGATTTTGGCAGTCATTTTGAACTGCTCTAGTAGTACATATTTTTGCTCAGCTTTAAAAAAATGGACGTTATATGTAAAATATATATATTTTTTCATGTTTACCCCAAGTGATGAGAGGGCAAAACCAAGTTTTTTTTTTTTTTTTTTTAAAAGACATACAGTTAGCCGGGCGGTGGTGGCGCACGCCTTTAATCCCAGCACTTGGGAGGCAGAGACAGGCGAATTTCTGAGTTCGAGGCCAGCCTGGTCTACAGAGTGAGTTCCAGGACAGCCAGGTTTACACAGAGAAACCCTGTCTCGAAAAACCAAAAAAAAAAAAAAAAAGACATACAGTTACTATAATTTTGAATTTTATGGTCTGGTTTGGGGATGGATATGCTACTTGAGTTTGTAGTTGTCTGCACTCACCCTTTTTACATTCCTGCCAGTTTGACAAAAATGTTCACACAGGGTCTCAAATTAAGAATATAATAAGATTATGGGAGAAAGAAAGATAAAATACCACTACAGTTTTTAAATTATTCCTTATATTCTAATTCATATTACAGATTTGTTTCATGTCTGGTATGGTGGTGCACACCTTTAATCTCAGCACTGGGGAGGCAAAGGCAGGTGTATCTCTGAATTTAAGGGCCAGCCTGGTCTACACACTTAGGTCCAAGATTATATAGTGAAATCTTGTGGGAACAAAACAAAACAAAAAATGGTGCTCTTGCTGGATTTGGTGGTGCATGCCTTGGGAGACTGATCTTCTGAGTTCAAGGACAGCCTGGTCTTTATAATGAGTTCCAGTATAGCTGTGGGCACACAGAAACCCTATGTCAAAAAGAAAGAAAAAAAAAAAGGAATTGGCATATGTTTATGTCTTGTGACTTTGAACAAGCTGTTTATCCTCTCCGTTGCACCTTATGAAAATAGTGACTTAGGTAAGAGTTGAGTGTTTGATAAGAACCTATATATTGATATTAGTTACCTACTATAGCATGGTAGGTTTGCAGAAATAAAAAATAATGTTCTCATCGTTTGTTTTCATTTAAACATTAAATGTTAAACTCAAACAGTGCAATCCGAATATGTTTTAATGGCTCTAAGGGGAATGTTTTGCAGTGGACGACAGATGAGGACCTAACTGAAGCAGTTCACTCTTTGGGAGTAAATGATATTTTGGAGATAAAATTTTTTGAAAATCGGGCAAATGGACAATCAAAGGGGTAAGAAGAGTTTAATTTTTTTCCTAAGGTAATCTGATAGTGATTACAATTTACAAATTAGTTTTCCTTAAGTTGGACGCTGATAACACACATATAGAGCACATGAACACATTAGCACTGACAAGATGGCTTAGGTTGTAAAGATCCTTACTGCACAAACCTGACAACTCAGTTCTTAGGAACCCACATGAACACACCAGAAGGAAGATCTTAGCAGAGGTTCATACTTGAATTTCGTATTTCTTGTTTTTTAAAAACACACGGAAGCTGCTTGGGATGGGACTGTAGACAGACTAGGCCTATTTCCTGACTATACTGAGTACACTCCTAAGATGGAAATAACTGTGCTAAGAAGCATTGTTGGTGCTGTGATTTAAGAGATAGGGTTTAATCCCAGCACTTGGGAGGCAGAAGCAGGCAGGAGGCCAGCCTTGGTCTAAGGAGCAAGTTCCAGGACAGCCACTCTGTCTCCAACCCCCCCAACCCCCCCAAAAAAAGGCTCAGAAAGATTGGGGTCTGTAGCTTGGTGCTAGAACCACTTGCCTGATAAGAGTTTGATCCCAGTACCATAAGAATAACAATGAAGGAGAATAACAAGAATAATGTAACCTTGCTCCATTTCCCTAATAGGAAATCACACACAAGGGACAAGATTATTATATGAGCATTATATAATGCAAGTATCTAAAAGTAATAAAATGAATTGCCACACTTTTACCATTCACTTTAGTGAATGTGCTTCTATGTTTTTGCCTAAAAGATAGTATAATAATTCACTTTGTCATATTTGATTGGAAAGAGCAGAAGAAATGCTTAGTGATATATACATCTTACTTTTGTGTATTGTGGTTGTTTCCACTCTTGCCTCTTATAAATAATATAGTAACATAATTGGATCTATTTACATTAATTTATTTTGTATGTGTATGAGTACAATACAGTACTTAAAAATACATATTTACAAAGTTAAGCAACCATTATAACTCTAATTTCAGAACATTTCATCACCCTAACAGTATCACCACCACAGAAACACTGTATCTGTTAGCATTCATCTCCAATCTCCCTTGTACCCTTTGTTGACAAGCGTTCATGTACTGTCTACCTCAGAATTTGTCTATTCTGGATATTTATAAGTAAAATATACTGGGTGTTTTATAAATCCAATAATATTAATATCCTGTGTGTTTGACTTCTTTCGTCTAGTGTAATGTTTTCAAGGTTCCTCATGTGACAGTGTCCGAATTCCCTTTTGCATCTGAGTGAGAAGCCCATATAATGGGGTAGCACTTTAAGAGGGACTCAGGATCCATCCACTGGTGAATGTTTGGGTGGTTTCTACTTTTAGCTTTTAAGGTGGTCATCCCTAAGAATATAGTGTACTATTTTGTGTGAACATAAAGTTTTGCTTGTTTTGGGCATATAACCTAGAAGTGGTGTTAGTAAGTTATATGGATATGGTAAGTCTGTTTAACTTTGGAGAAGTTGCCAGATTGTTTATATATTCAACCATGCAGGAGGGTTGTATCTCATTATCTTTACCAGCACGGATAGCTGTCATTTTGATTATAGTAGAGAACTGGATTTCTTTATGGTTTTGATTTGCACCTTGGTGGGTAATGGGGTAATGACCAATTTGTTGTTTTATGTGTATGGGTGTTTGGCTGCATACACACACACACACACACACACACACACACACACGCATTCTGTGTTTCCCTGATAATCATGCAGGCCAGAAGAGGGAATTAGACCCCTTGAAACTCTTGCAGCTGGAGTTATGAATGGGTGTGAGCTGGGTACTGGGAATTGAACATAAGTTCTGGAAGAATAGTAGTGCTGTTAACCACTGAGCAATCTCTCCAGCCCCTCAATATCTTTTTGAAGCAATAAAAAGTGACAACAACCCAAGTGCCTACTACCTGATGGATGAATTTAAAACAAAACAAAAGTAATGTCTATAATGAACTGTTATTCAGCTATTAAAGGGAATGAATTAGTGATACATGCTGTAACATGACTAGACCTTTAATGCTCAGGAAAGTGGTTGTAAAGAGTTTCATATTCCATTTATTTGAAATTCCAAATGAGGCATATCCATAGAGACAAAATAGATTTATCATTCCCTGTGATTAAGGGACAAGAATAAATAGGAATGGTGGTAGAGGCTATGGATTTTCTTTTGGTAATGATGAGTATTATAACATGAACCATCATGATGTTTGTAAAATACATAAATGTACCTTAAAAAGTTACTGGATTGTACATTAAGAGTGAATTCTGTAGTACATTATAAAAAATAGTGTAAGTCTGTGTAGCCTTAAATAGTTTATTTTTTCTTCTGATAAGAGTAAATTAAGGGGTTAGAGAGATGGTTCAGGTTGACAACACTGTTCTTCCAGAGGTCCTGAGTTCAATCCCAGCAACCACATGTTGGCTCACAACCATCTGTAAGGGTGTCTGGCGCCCTCTTCTGGTGCGCAGGCATAATACAGGCTGAACACTGTGTACATAATAAATGAATCTTTTTTAAAAAGACTAAGACCATTTCTTTTTTTAATCAACAGTAGCGTTCTCAGTTCCTCCTTGCTTTTTATTCTTACCCCTTACCATCTTTTAGATTTGCCCTTGTTGGTGTTGGATCTGAAGCATCTTCCAAAAAGTTAATGGATCTTTTGCCTAAAAGAGAACTTCATGGTCAGAATCCTGTTGTAACTCCATGCAATAAACAGTTCCTGAGTCAGTTTGAAATGCAGTCCAGGAAAAGTAAGCAAATAAATCTCTCAGCAGCCTTTTTAAAAATGTATTTAAGCAGTGTTGCTGGCATTTGTTAAATATTATACTTAGGAAGTCATGTTGCTGTTTAATTTTTCATGAACTTGATTTAATCATTGCTTATGACTATACTGGACACGCACTCCCATTCCAGTTTTTTCTAGATAGATCAAACAGTATACGGCAGTTTGACCGCTCTCTGGTGCTGGCATTGTCCTGCCACTCATCACGGAGAACTACTGAAGCTGCTGCGTTCTAGCCCTTAGAGGAAGAGCCTCTATGTGTATATGTGTTCTGACAGGAGAGAGGCTAGTGAAGTAGTTCCTGGGTTTTCTTTCTGCTTGCTACCAAGGTCTTTACTACTTGGTAAAATGAATGTAGAAGAGACTTGTTATTAGAAATTCAAGTGGTTTTGTTTTAATTTTTTGCCAATTAAGACTTAACTGAAGAATATATTATACAGCATAAAAAAATCTCTTATTGAAGCCGGGCGGTGGTGGCGCACGCCTTTAATCCCAGCACTCGGGAGGCAGAGGCAGGCGGATTTCTGAGTTCGAGGCCAGCCTGGTCTACAGAGTGAGTTCCAGGACAGCCCGGGCTATACAGAGAAACCCTGTCTCGAAAAACCAAAAAAAAAAAAAAAAAAAATCTCTTATTGAAATGAAGATTTCTGTTGATTTTCTGTTTTGGCAATTGTAGATAGAGTACTGGTATTTTAAAGTGACTTGTTTATCTCTCAGTGGAAATACATTTAAACTTGACTATTTTAAGACTAAGTGTATTTAAATAAATGTGAATGTTTTTCTTGCCAAGTACTTTTACATAGGGCCAAGGCATCTATAACTTGATGAATAGTATAAATATGAACTAGTTTCTAACAACAGTGGTTACAATTCAGAAAACTTTTAATAAGTGCTATTTATGAGTATTTGGATGTTTGCAGCTACACAATCAGGACAAATGTCTGGGGAAGGTAAAGCTGGTCCTCCAGGAGGCAGTTCACGTGCAGCATTTCCACAAGGTGGTAGAGGACGGGGCCGTTTTCCAGGGGCTGTTCCTGGTGGGGACAGATTTCCTGGGCCAGCAGGACCAGGAGGGCCACCTCCACCTTTCCCAGGTAAAACTTTTGAAGTTTATTATGGAGAAAACATGTCTGCCTAATACCTCTTTTCCTTTCTCTCTTTTTCAAGTAATGCATTATTAATGTGACTTACTCTCCTTGTTATGCTATTTTTGGAACCCAGGAAATTTGATCAAGCATCTTGTTAAAGGAACTCGGCCTTTGTTCCTGGAAACTAGGATTCCATGGCATATGGGGCACAGCATAGAGGAAATACCCATTTTTGGCCTAAAAGGTCTTTATTTTTCTCCAAACTTGCTTGACTTTATATATAGAATATTTACGTCCGTCTTATTTTCTTACCTCTTAAAAAATCCTTTCAAGACCATTTTCCCTGTTTCACTTTCTAGCTTGGCATCAGAGTAGAATATAAGGTGGGTGTTTTCACTGTGAGAAGTATGTGTGCTGAAAGATGGAAACTCTTAAGTGTTAAAGTCTTACCAAGTTTTTTGTTTTAGTGGTTTTCCTTAATCATAATTGACACTAGTTAAATTTGTAAGGATATTCTTTATCTTTGTAGTTACTAGAGCATTGTCCTATGGGTTTCATTCCAAGAGAGAGTCATGGTTTATAAATTCTGCTTTAGAAATATATTCTTGACATGTAATAGTTAAATATCTTTATTGAAGTCATCTTTTTTTTTTCCTTTCTTTATTTTATAGCTGGACAAACTCCACCGCGTCCACCTTTAGGCCCACCTGGCCCACCTGGTCCCCCAGGTCCTCCACCTCCTGGTCAGGTTTTGCCACCTCCTCTAGCAGGACCTCCTAATCGCGGAGACCGCCCTCCACCACCAGTTCTTTTTCCTGGACAACCTTTTGGGCAGCCTCCGTTGGGTCCACTTCCTCCTGGGCCTCCACCTCCAGTTCCAGGCTACGGCCCCCCTCCAGGTCCACCGCCTCCACAGCAGGGACCACCTCCACCTCCAGGCCCCTTTCCACCGCGACCACCAGGTCCGCTAGGGCCTCCCCTTACACTTGCTCCTCCTCCACATCTTCCGGGACCACCTCCAGGTGCCCCACCACCAGCTCCACATGTGAATCCTGCTTTCTTTCCTCCACCAACTAATAGTGGTATGCCAACATCAGATAGTCGGGGTCCACCACCAACAGACCCATATGGCCGACCTCCCCCATATGATAGGGGTGACTATGGTCCTCCTGGGAGGTAAGTTAAACATGTAGTACTGAAACTCTTTAATCAGTAAAAGATAAAGTACTTTGAAGTCTTTTGTATTTTAGAAATGTAGTTTCTGTCCTGTAGAAAGATCAGATTTCTAAACCGCAACAAATTTCAGCCAGAAGACAGTGAAAAGGGGAATTTGATTGGACAGGGGAAATAGCATTCTCCAATCTGGAAAATAACAACTGTCTCTAAAGCAAATGCCAAAAGCTGCTTTTCTGGAGTTGTTTACATTGTTACTAACTTTTTTGCTAAGTAACAACTTCTCATTTCTTTGTCTTTTGTAGGGAAATGGATACTGCGAGAACACCTCTGAGTGAAGCTGAGTTTGAAGAAATCATGAATAGAAATCGGGCAATCTCAAGCAGTGCTATTTCTAGAGCTGTGTCTGACGCTAGTGCTGGTTTGTATATTTGTTTCAGTCTTCCTTCCTATTTATGTTAAGAATCATCCTAAAACCAGGGGCTAGAGAGAAGACTTAGCTGTTTAAAGCTGGCTGCTCTTTCACAGGACCCTGGTTTGATTAATAACCATCAGTTCATTACAGTTCCTGGGGATCCAAGGCCCTCTTCTGGCTTCTGCAGGCATCAGCCATGCTTATAAGTGCAAAGACAAACACACATACGGTCAGAACACCCATACACATACAATTTACAATTAAAACCCAAAGCTTAATTACAGTTTATAAAGACAGTTTTCTTGCCGGGCGGTGGTGGCGCACGCCTTTAATCCCAGCACTTGGGAGGCAGAGGCAGGTGGATTTCTGAGTTCGAGAGTTCGAGGCTAGCCTGGTCTACAGAGTGAGTTCCAGGACAGCCAGGGCTACACAGAGAAACCCTGTCTCGAAAAACCAAAAAAAAAAAAAAAAAAAAAAAAAAGAAACACTATGTAACCTGTATAGTTAGTCCCAAATGGTTATCTGTCACTTAGTTTTCAAGTATTGAAGGATGATACATGGCAGTGCAGTGGGAAGACCACCAACTTTACTGGATTTAAATGCTTATTGGGAGTGGGAGCAGTGGCTCTGTAGTTAAGAGCACTGGATGCTAGTGCTGGGATCTGGTGTCCTCCTCATTCCTCAGTGGGTACTAGGCACACACATGGTGCACACACATGGTGGACACACATACATGCAGGCAAACTGTCCATATACATAAAGTTAAAAATCAGTTCCAACTGGAGAGAGAGTGAAGAGGTAGCTTAGGAGTTACACTGGCTGCTGCTCCATAGGATCAGGATTGATTCCTAGCACCCATGTGGTGGCTCACAAACTTTTATAACTCCCAATTCCAGGGGATCTGACATCCTATCTGGCCTCAGTGGCCACCACTCTTTCTTTGGATACAAAGACATGTGGGTTAAAACACTTGTGCACATGAAATGATATAAATATTAACTTTGGTATTTAATAGTTCAGAGTCCCAGAGATAGCTTATTTATTCTCGTATTTGCAAAATAATAACTATCTACATGACAAAACAGTCAATTGCATTAGCTTCATGAAAAATGAGAGTCTTTTCTAAATTCCAAAACACTGAACGAAAGTCATTGTCTATGGTCATTTTAAATGACAATTTTCAAGTCAGGCTGAGGTGACATGCCTTTAATCCCAGCACAGGATTCGGGAGTCAGTCGAATTTCTGAGTTTGAGGCCTGACTGGTCTATAGAGAGAGTTCTAGGATAGCTAGTTCTATTCCAAAAGATAATTTGGAAACAAAAATTTGTTTGATAATTAACCTTTTCTTTTCTCCTGTAGGTGATTATGGGAGTGCTATTGAAACATTGGTAACAGCAATTTCTCTAATTAAACAATCCAAAGTATCTGCAGATGATCGTTGCAAAGTTCTTATTAGCTCTTTGCAAGATTGCCTTCATGGAATTGAGTCTAAGTCCTATGGGTCTGGATCAAGGTAAAATGTTCCTGTCTCATGTATTTTTAAAACTGTTAGTTAACATACACACAAGGAACTTCTAAAAAATGGAACTGTGATTTTACTTACTCTATACCCAACAGTCAGTCTTTTTTTTTTTTTTTTTTTTTTAATATTGGTGCTTCCTGGAATCCTTAGATGCAAGGAACTCTATGGCTTCTCTGTACTCTTAGATGTCTGTGTTCATTCAAGCACATTGTGGGATCTAATCTCTCCTGTGACTCTCATAACTCCTATACTTATTCACCATTCCTTAGCCAGATGGGCACATTAAGCATTTGACCACCTTACTGGTTTTTGTACTTGATATTTCTTCTTGGAACCACTTTTCTTGTTGTTTTTTTTTCCCTAAACATTTATCTGCCTCTCTATTTCTTCATGTCTTACCATAATCTAGTCTGTCAGAGTCTGTTTCTTTTGTAGTATTTGCTATAACCATCTATTCATTATTGAAGCTCATTTCTTAGTGAACACCTGTTGAACAAAGCAAGGGCTTTAGCGATTAAACACTGCTTTATACAAGAGACAGGGTGTTTTTGAAAGAGGGAGTTGTGAATAAGTGGTTATTTTATAATAGGTGCAGTTTTATTTTAGATTTGTTTATTTTGTGTGTATCAGTGGTTTGCTAGCAAACATGTATGTATTTCTCTGGTGCCTGAGGAATCCCCTCAAACTGGATAGCTATGATGGTGGTAAGCCATCTTGTGGGTGCTGGGAATCAAACCCCGGTCCTCAGTCAGACAGAGCAACAAGTACTCTGAACTACTGAGCTAGCTTTTCAGACCCTGTAATCGATACTGTGTTTTTGTTTCTTTGTTTGTTTTTAAGGTTTATTTAATGTATATGAGCACACAGTTGCTCTCTTCAGATGCAACAAAAGAGGGCATTGGATCCCATGTGAGCCACATGTGGTTGCTGGGAATTGAACTCAGGACCTCTGAAAGAGCAACCAGTGCTCTTAACCTCTGAGCCATCTCTTTCCAGCCCTAGGTTCTGTTTTTTAAAGGTTACTTTTAAAAGCATTTTTACCAATTTTGAAATTTTATATATCTTGCAAGGTAACTGTTTAATCTTTACATGATACTATCTCTTTAGAGACAGGGTCTCACTGTGTAGATGAGGCTAGCCTTGAACTTACAGAGAGACGAGCCTGGCTCTCCATTCTTTCACAGCCACAGTTTGACTCTTGATTTCATTTATGCGGGTGTTTTGCCTGCATTTCTGGCCATAACCCACCTGTGCTAGGTGCCGCGGAGTCTGGAAAAGTGCCTTGGATTCCCCAGAACTGAAGTTAGAGGTGGATAGGAGTCACTATTTGGGTGCTGAGAACTGAACCTGGATTCCATGGAAGAGCAGCCAGTGTTGATAACCCTTGAGCCATCTGTCCAGTTCTTCACATGTTCTTCTGTCTGCCCTTCGTATGCTTTTCCTGGAGGTAGTATTAAGAGTAGCGAGTTCATACTGGACACGGTTTTTACGTTGTTACTACCGTTTTGGCTCATTGTAAGTCTGTGAATAAATGTCCCTAACTAGAGATTATATCATGTGTTGTCTTCATTGTGGGGACACCTGAGCTGGATCAAGAAGCTTAGCACTTAATAGTTAAGGTTAGTTGCTTGCTTCAGTAATTAACATGATAATTCTTACTTAAACTAATGGAATTATTATGAGGCTTAGGTATGATTTTGGGGTCTTTCAGATGTGATGGCAAAATTTGCGTTAATTTATTTTTTCTTGTTTCATATGTTCTCACTGTAAACCTTTGTAATTTCAACATGACTTTTTTCACGCTTAAAGGAACAGTGTTCCAATTGTCGGCATCACTACTCCTACTTTGGTGCTATTACTAAGTATTATTAAGTAATCCAAAGATTATTTAAACATAAGCACTGTACCATCACGATGACACTTAAGGCTGTACTGAATAGTTAGTGGGCAAATATCATTTAGTGTGGGTGTACTGGCCAGAGAGATGGTTCACAATGCAGGCAGGAAGGAGCAAGATGACAAAATATTTTATCATGATGATTGGCTTAGTCTAGCTGGCATGGGTCTTGGAAACATGATTAGGGAATGAAGAAAGGACAGACACACTTAGATACAGCCAGAATCAAGGGTCTTACTGCTGCATCCCGGAACTTCCTGGATGATCGGTACAACACTAGGACAGGGCCGGCTAGTCTAGGTAGGAGATCTCTCTAGAGTACCAATTGCTGTCTGTCTGAAAAGCTTCCCAGAGGAGGCCGCTGTTTTTTGTCTTTCTACACACTGATCTATTGTTCATAAACATTCATACTCAGATTCCTCAGTGTAGCTAGCCACCCCTATCTGGGACTCCCCTTTGCCAGCGTCCATGGGGTTCAGTTAGGTAGGGCCTTGGGGCTCCCGCATGGCCACGGCAACAGTACATGTGTTCAGAGTTCACTAGGAGCTGTCTCTTCTCCTGCCCTAATCAGAATGGCGTAAGGCGTTTTATTTCTGAAAGCTTGCATTTAATATTTTTGGACTAGTGGTGTAGGTGAAGCCGTGGAAAATAAAACTAGTGGTAAAGGAGAGACAACTGTGTTAAATGTCTTTTGAAGCTTTACGGTTACGGACAGCATTAATCCAGTAATTTCTTTTAGAAGACGTGAACGATCGAGAGAAAGGGACCATAGTAGATCACGGGAAAAGAGTCGGCGTCATAAATCTCGGAGTAGAGATCGCCATGATGATTATTACAGAGAGAGAAGCAGAGAGCGAGAGAGACACCGGGATCGCGACCGTGACCGTGACCGTGAGCGTGACCGAGAGCGAGAGTACCGTCATCGTTAGAAGGTGGGCATTCCTTTTTATTATTTTGTTTAGTATGTGTGTGTTATTAACAGTAATTATAACTCCAAGGCTGTTGTTTATACAGTAAATATACCTACATTTTAAGTGGTCCAAGTACTTGTTCTGATTTAATCTTCTGGAAACATCTGAAAACAGGTAAGCCATCACAGGTAAACTATTTTGACCTTTCCCCCCTGAATATTGTATTCATGAGTTATCTGTGACTTTTAGATTTCAGATTGTTTATAGTCTTAAAGCAAGAAAAATAATCAAGAGGACTCATTGTGTACTTCTAAAATCTGAAAATTGGGATTCTTGTAATCACATACATTGTTTACATGTGATTTAAAAATATTTATAAAATATTTATGTGCTTGGATTTTTAAAAATAAAATTTTTATTCTTCCTTCCTAGAACTAATTTCATTTGTCCCTAAAACTTTTAAAGAAAATCTAATATAGGTTATATAAAAAGATGTTTTTAAGCAGTAAAAGAGGATTTTTCCCTTTTAAAAATTACTTTTTAGATGAGAATTGCTAGCATTTGATTTTATTTTTAAAGGAACACTATCTTTTTAATTTCCAAAGAAGGCATAAAGTGGGTTTAGGGTTCATATCTAAAAATTTAAAATTGTGCCAAGCCATATGTCCCAAGATAGAAATACTTGGAAATAATTTTCTTTGATGTTTCATTCATAAGCCATAATCATTGTCTTTTTTCTGTATTTTAAAAATTTCTTGTGTACATTTTTCATAAAGTAGAATGAGTTGTCTGTTTATGCTTCATTTTTACATGTAATTTTATTTTATATTTGTGAACAGTGTTTACTCATGAAGAGTGGGGAAAGAGCACTGTGAATTTTTGGAATGTGGCAGGTTATCAATTCTGTAAACACCTTTGCTCCATATATGAATTAAAGTAGACTTGGAAGAAATCCTTTATAAGTTTACTTATAAGTAAATATTTTACATAAACATACTGAAAATCCAGTTGGAAAATTGTTAATACTTAAATTGTAATTGGCTTTATCGTGTATGTAATTCTGTGACTAGCAGTTTCTTTAATCATCACACACATGCACACTCACAAGATCCCTTTTGAAAAAGAAAAAAATATAAAGTAAATTTTATGAAATACAAGTTTTGTAGGTTTCCAGTGAGGAAGCCCATTTTAATATTTTGTCTTAGGTCTTGAGTATTTATCAGAACCTTTTTACTAGTTACATGTTACACTAAGATTTTAATTCTCAAAGCATTTCTCTGTTAGTTTTAAAATTACTAAAATTGGTACTGTTTGGATATAAAATTCGATGTTGTATAAATCTAAACTAAATTTTAAATGAAGTTTTTTTTATTCCTAGTAAAAATCCCTTAAGGTGGGTTTGGATCAAGTTACTACTTGAAATGTCTAATTATCTGTTTTAATACAGTACCGATTTTACACATTGTATTTTTATGTATTCATTTGTTTGTTTGTTTATTTATTTATTTATTTAAAGCTTTACAGTTTATTAACCATCTTATAGTTACCAAAGATATGATAGTGAAATTGGATACATTTTCAGTAATTCAGTGTGTCCATCAAGGGGCCTCTAAGCCAGTTCATATGTAGCCTTAATTAGCAGGTTTTTTTTTTTACAGGTCTTCATAAAATTAATCCAGTAAACCAAGTATGCATTGTTTATTTTACATACTTTGAATTTATACTCTAGTCAAGAGTAATCACCTAAATATATCATTTTGAGTTCCATGTCATTCAGACATTAACTACAGTTTCTTAGTATGTAGGTTTTTGCAATCAGTGATGTACCATTCCCCAAATCCCATGTTTTGTTTGTACATTAATCAGAATTGAGTTGTAATATTGTTATGTGCCTTCATCCAAGCAAAATTTTACAAAAGTCTTTACAGTGGGGGAAACAACAACAACAAAAAAGAATATGTTTTCCTGGATTATTGTACCTTTGCTCTACCAAATGGTATTTATTGTGGAGACAGATGTGAGGAGAAGGGTGGGGGTGGGGCTTAAATACATACATATGAATGAGCGCAAACCTATTTGCTAATTTTATTACCATTATGAGGTCTGTTGACCTTTTAGAAGTTTTTAAATATGAGTCCTTTTGAACTTCCTTGTAAATTTTAAATGGAATAAATGGAATAAGGAATACTTGACCAATAAAGTAAATGTCAGTCTCTGTATAAGTCAATAATGTAATATGCTGTCAAGTGTTGATGGTGGTAAAGGCAGGCTCTGGAAGCGTGATGTTGACAGCTGTTAATGTCTGTCCCATCCTAAGTTTCTTTGTGTTTGAACTGTTGAGTAATGTTAATTGCATTCTCATTTGAAAAGTGTATTAGTTTTTCTAAAAGTTTTCCATATCTGAGTTTAAATATTAAATAGGTAATAATACTTCAATGAGAAAAATAACAGCTTTGTAAATTTCAGTGTATAAATACATTGTGCTTCATATTCTGTAATTTTTACCTCTATTCTCAGACCACTCTGAGCAAAATAAAAGCTGTAAGGTTTGTTCTCACAGAAATCATGTGACTGTTGAGTTGCAGCTTTGCCCTTAGTTGTGTTGCCCTGACCACTTGTTTAGAGTAGCCCCACTCAGCAGTGTGTGTTAACAACTACCTTCTGTGTACTGAAGAACATGGAAGCTAATTCTTTCTCTAGATGCTTTTTATTCAGGCTTCTCTACCTAATTTATGAGATTCTCATGTTCTCAAATGATTCCTCCCCCCCCCCCCCCGCACTTTGTTTGGAATCTGGGTTATATAACTAAGTGTATGGCCATGTGATTACTTCTGGCATAAATGTCATGAACTTGGGTTTAATTACCGCGCAGGAGTCAGGATGCTTTGTGTTTTTTTTATCCGGATTATTATAGGTTGTGTTAATTTGGGGAAAGCCCAAAGGAAATCATTTCTTTTATATTAAGGTGTTCCATCTTATTAGGAGTATTGTGTTGAGGCTTTTGTGAAAATTAAATTCTTTTTCATTGCCTGGTGAATGATAACTGACTGTTAACAAGATTTCTGAATTGCTTCCACAAGTCTGAGGTCACATGTTGTTACTTACCTCGTATTCCAGTGTTGTTCGCATGTGGTTTCCATGTATCTCCTGCTCCGCTTCAGCTTCTTCTAGGCTGCCTCTCATCTCTGTCCCGGTTCCTCCTATCGTAGTGTGTGTGAAATCTGACTCCACTGTTTTACTTGAAGTGCAAGAGAGAGTAGTAAGAGAGTAGAAAGCAGCCTCTTGGATGGATGGATAGTGTGTTTTGCTCACTGTGGTTTAAGAATATAGTTTTGTTTATAAATGATTGATGTTCTCTGTCTTAAAACAAATTCAGTGCCAGTGTGAGTCACCTGACCTCTCACCTTCATTTCAGTGTGATATTTTTGCCATTGTTTAGTTTGTATCTTGGATGGTTTTGAATGCATAATGTTTCAAATACGTAAATGAATTCAGTTAGCATTGTTTAAAGGAAACCTACTAACCAGTAAGAGAAGTGTGACATTCATGTTCTGTAAATTTATGCTTTCATGTTCTGTAGTTAGCAAGTTCTAACTCTTGAAGTGGGTGAATTCTAAATAACGACCAGCTTATTTTGAAATATTCATATTTTTTGAGTGACTCTCTTTGGCACAAAGCTTTCTTTCTTTCATTTTCTTTTTTGTTATGCAGTTTATTTCTATGTAGTCAATTGGATAGAATACTTCATTGTGTATTTTGTACAGTAATAAAATAATTTAGTTGAAATGGGGTAAGTATGATGTTCAGAGAAAAACAGCAGAATATAAACTTTAAGTAGCTACGAGCTTTCTGTGAACATCAGTAATAAATGGAATTGTTTTTTATGTACTATGTTCTAGACAACATAAGAAACTCAAGAAGAGTTACTATGTTTAGATGCTTCTGATGCCTACCTCATCCTCATTCCTCATTAAGGAGAAATTTTCAGATACAGAAGGGTAGATTTTATTAATTTAAAAGCATTGCATTTCTAAAATTATGTGATGATCTGTTTTAATTCAACACATCAATATGAAAACCTGTAAGAGTGGGGTGTGATAGTGCGCACCTGTGACTTTACCACCTAAAGAGACTGATGCAGGAGAATGCTGTGAGCTCCAGGTCAGCCTGATTTACATGTAGAGTTTCATGCTAGCCAGGCTTCTGCACTAAAACCATGTTTCAGAAGTAAGGACAAACACTCAACATAAAAACCAAAAAGAATTCTTATTAAATAAATAATCAAATGTTTTACTTAAAAGATTAATTTACCATGGGTTTTAAACTATGAATAATACCAAGATTGCATATATAATTAACACTCAATTTGAGTTGTTCATAACTATTTGATAGTACATTATCTCAAAATGTAGGCATTTTAGTCTATTGAAATTTTACTGCTTGCTTTAGCTTGCAGACTTTAAGGCTAGTTTCATTGTCTTATGTTTATTTAACAGCTGTTTACATAGGTTCCTTTTTATAGCTGACAGGTAAAGCAAGTAAATGTGTGGCCTTGACATTACAGATTTGATCAAATGCAATTCTGAACATATGAGCATCGAATGTATCTGTTACTTTTAAGCTTTTTGCTGTCTTTGTTTATGTAGATGTCTACTTAGACATTTGACTCTATAATGTGGAATTGGATTATTGGAATGGGTTGTATTGCCTTCAAATTTTGCTTCCGTTTGAGATTGTAAAATTTGTGTTTATGTAAAGTGTTTAGAACTAGAAATAAAAGTTTCTAAACTATTCCCTAAATTTTATGTCTGTTGGGTAAAATTTCAAGATTTATCAGTTAGTAAAGACCTATTTATAATATAATGAAGCAAAAGATGAGTGCACTGGTTCAGCATAAACGTGTCTTTATGACCTCACAGACAGGATTGCCTGTATACAAGGAGTAAGTTTCCATTGAGGTCATGGTAATATATACCCTGTAGCTTTTTGAAAGATTTATCCCCACTCCCCCAAACCCCTCCATACTGTGACTTTAAGTAATCTTTCTTTCAGTGACTCATTCTTCATCCTTTACAACACAATAAAAATATTGGGGGAGATAGCATTTCTTTTTTAGTAGGATTTATGAATTTTCTACAGTCCTTTTTTTTTTTTTGTAGATTAAAACATCTACCTTATCTTTCTCTAATGATTTACTGTTTTTAAAATTTCACTAGTGCTGGAATGTTAGTGTAGGTCATGGGCTTCGTATGTTGTGGAGTACTGGATTCAGTCTTCAGCATCAATCCCAGAAAACAAACTTAAGATATCTACCAGAATTGTAACCTGTAAAACTAAAACATTTGAAAACTGACATTGTAGATTTTTTCTGTTAAATAATTCTTCTGTATAAGCCTATTAACATACCATGAAAGAGAAGGTACAAAAGGTGATTACTACAGATAGTTTAGATGACTCTTTAAATTAGAGTGCAGTTGAGAAAGGTGTTTCCTTTGTACTTTAAGGTTTTACTAGGGAGGATGAATATGTGTATACATACTGATAGTCTTAAGATTCTCCCAGTAGAGAAATGAACACAAAATTCATAGTTGTTACAGAAATTCCTTCTAATTATAAAGCAAGGGATTTTTAAAAATTATTTTTATGACAGAATGCCACTAAGTATTATCTACTTTTGAAAAATATTAAAACACCTCTTTATTTCTATTTTAAATATTTGGTATAAAAGCGATCACTTTTTAAACTAATGTTTCTTTTTTGGACGTTTACTTGAAATTTACACAAATATGTATTCCTGAGCCTATAGTATCAATTTTATTGTTGGCTTTCCCTTTCCCCTTTATGTAAGTTTTCAATGAAATTGATCATTGTAGAGTCTCATTAGTTTGTGTTTGGTTAGTGGATATAGGTGAAATAGAATGAAAGTAATGTCTCAAATTTGTATTGTGTCTAAAGATTTGTATGTGGATGTCATATTTGATGACCATACTGAGGTACTTACTTATAAATTTTGTAACATGGATTTCCATTGGTTTATAACGAATTGGCAGAAGTTCATGTATGCTGTCAAATACAGTTAATGTGTAAATTTCATTGCATTTTATATTCACTTGAGCATTTGTTAAATATATTGATATGTGGATGAATGAAAAAAATCTACATTCAAATCCAAGCATTTTTCCCATTTATTTTGTAGTGTGCATATTTTAGACAATGACTTACGGTTGTTCTCATCATCACAGAAACAGTAGCTGCTGTAGTTTCATTATTACTGTAATTTTATTCTTTTTAAAATTGCCATATTTTGCACAGAACAGTGGTCTTCATATGAGAATCACTGAATTTCACAGGAAGTAATATGTAAAAAGAATTGAAATGTGAGAATTTCTTATTTTGAATTTGTAAATTGAATTTGTAAACATAGGAGCATTCCTCCACCGTGTAAGCAGCTACTGTTGGAGTTCCTTTTTATTTTGTTAGAATCCCTAACAGTGAATAGTTGCACGACTTGTGTTTGTATAGCTAAGCCAACATTTTTTTTGTGTATTCTGGGGAATAGCAAAATCTACATCACAAATTTTGACACATTACAGCTGAAGGAAGAGGAACACCTTCCAAGACAAAACAGTCTTCACGGGGGAAAGTGACGCTTGTCCAGCAGTTTGCTTCTTGTGATTGAACTGAACCTGTAAGGATTCATGGATAAACTGAACAGGAATAGATCTGAATAAAGCAAATCTGCATAAATGGTAACCAGTAGCTCTACTTTTATTTTTTATGTTGCTTAACTGTTTTATTTGAAGAAAACCTGTGTGATTTAAAAAGTTAATAGCTTTTGCAACTTTATTACTGGTTATATATATTTGGCCATTATAATGTGCAAGCAATTGGAAAAAGTCAAGTAAATGCTTGTTTTTATAGTAGTTTGTTCTTGTTAAAATGTTCATATGATAATGTCTGTAAACAGCACCAATTTGATTACAATAGATGTAGTGTTGTAATAAACTGTTTAATGGGGCTGATGTGTAAAGCTGTTCAAGTTATTTGATGTTTACACCTCAGGGAAAGTCTTGTGTTCAGCAATATCTAAAGATAATGTTACTATGACAACATTTTTACTGTCCTTTAAAAAAGCATTGCAATAGCGTGTTTGGATATGCATCAATCTAATCTTACGTTCAGTGAGTTAAACATGGCTAATTAAGTGTCTATTGCCCTTGATTTTGATATTAGAATAGGTGATTACATGGGTATTTAATATTTCTATATTCTGCTTTTCTAGCTGTTTTTACCTAGTTAGCTTGTGATTTTGCAGAATGGTATGTAAACGTGTGAAAACTGAAATTTGACAGAGCAATCCAGTCAATGTGTTAGGGGGTCAAAAAATTTAAGGTTGTAACATTTTTGGTAAAAACTCATGTATATGCTACAGTAATGCAGCTTAATTACAACCCAGATATACTGAAACAATACATTGTGAACTGCTAGCATTTAAGATAGATTTTGATAATTCTGATTTCATGCAGTAATTTACTGTTTCATGCTGATGGTGCCATAGGCAGTGTAATTATGGCTATACAGCAAGATAAGTAAAGAAAGCCCTAGTATTGTACTTGATACAGACTTCTGAAGGGTGTGATGTTTATTATTAACATTGGGTTGTATTCTTCAGTGTGAATAATGAAAAATTATAGTTACACTGTCTTCATGGCTCAAGGAATTCTGTGTATATTCCTGTAACCTTGTTGATTTATGCTTGATTAGAGTTAATCAGTTGATTTTTTTTTTTTTTTTTAGATCCAGCCTTAATAAAAGGTTGAATTAAAAGCACCTGACTAGCATGTGTTCTGCAAAATTAGCAGAGACAGACTATCAATTTGATTGCCCATTTTTATAGGAGGGTAAAAATTTGAATTACTAAAGAAATTTTAGATAAAGTCCTTAAGCTAATTTGTGTTAAATGTTTTAAAGATCTTATTACTTATGAGAGATCTTTGGATAGTATGCATTGGCTTTTAAAAGTTTACCTAAAATTAAGAGCAATGCTTAAGGAATGTACCATAGGTTGAGATAACGTGCAACTTGAGAGATTTGTACTCTTTCTTCTTCAGTTTTATCTTTTCTGCTTTTAAAATACTCAAAAATATCCATACCACTGCCAGTTCATTTTAAAACATTTTGTGAGCAGAGTATTTTTTTGGAAGGGATCATTGGTGTTTACCAGAACTGTTTGTTGTTAGCTCTCAGAAATGATTTTTTTCTTAAGTGTTTAATCTTGTTGAAATGCAATTACCTTTAATTTGGGAGTTGTATCAAAATCTGTTTTCTTGTTTTGTATGTAGATATTGCAAGTTTTTGTCATTTCTTAGCTTTTTTTAATAGTTCAATTACAATACCCTAATGTGAAGCCGTTTGGACATACATGTGTTTACAAGGGAGATTAGTTAATAGTGAGATTAAAAGGTAAGTACAATGTCCATAGATAGAATTTCTCTGAGCATTTTTAAAATGGATTCAAAAAATACATATACTTGAAATGAAACTGGAGATTTTGTACTAATTTTAATCCTTTATTACCTTTTATTCTTTTTTTAAAAAATCAGTTGGAACATTTCGTTGCTCTATGTCACCCTTCTTGCTTGACCTGTCTCATCAATAAGTGACATTGGGTGCAGATAGTGCGAGTGTACTAGCATTGTTTGCTGCTGCTAGCCCATTATTTTAAGTGTTGTCAGGAAGAAATAAAAACTTTGGTTTGTCTAATTTTGCAATGTCTCCTACCTGATAACACATGAATGTATAGCAGTAAAAGTAAAAATTTCAAACCTTGTTTTATTTGTCAAGGCCCTTCTGTTGTTTAGGAGCCAGTTTCATTTGAAAACTGGTTTTTAATGTATAAAAACAATCCAAAGAGATAAAATTTTGCACCAAAAAAAGAGAAAAAAGAGAGAGAGAGATAGACAGACAGACAGGAAAGAAGAAGTCAGAAGAAAAAAGGAGCTAGGGAGAGTTTTTTAAAACTTGTAGTTCATCTATCTGTGACAATGAAAACAAGCTTGAGTTGATCTTGCATCCTAGTGTTGCCTAGTGCTGTGTAGCCACATTCCTTGTAACTAGAGGAAGACTCCAGAGGCGTGGGACAGCGCCCACAGGGTGTTTCTCCTGGAGCAGCACTTTGAATTCAGTAGACTGCTTTGAGGTAAAAGAGATACATTCATAGAAAGGATTCTTTGAGTGTAAATGGACATGTGTTTATGTTTCGTCAGTTTCCATCAGCAAGGTGGGCAAGCTTCTGAGTGATGAGCATATGTTAGACCACTTCATGTCTCCTTAACCTATAGTCTTAAGCAGTTAACTACAACTTGGAATTTACAAATAGCATGTAGCTTAAGGTATTATTTTAATTTGATTCTCCTATGGAGACTGTTGGTTTAGTTTTTACTAGTTTAAAGTCAGTTCTAAAAATATAAACATGGAAGTTTTCATGAATATTGTATAATATTTTATAGTAAAGGGGGGAAGCTGTTGAAAAGGGTAAGACTTTCTCTTTCCCTGTGTTAAAATGTGCCAATAGCCTGAGTACATTCTGTTTCATACAGCGAGATGCTCCTGCAGGACTCTTGGAGTGGAGTGCTCTTCACACTGTAGTCTTGCTGCCCACGTGGCCGTTACACTATCTGTGCTTTAAGCTTCAGCTTAAGGTATTTTAGAGGGAATTTACGTTCTGATTCTTTACTGAGAATACAGTATTGAGATTCTTGCTATTGCACAGATAAACGGATTTTTAAATTTTATTCATGAACTTCATTTGCATCCCATAGCCCTCTGTAAATGTTTCCCCCGGTTGTATGTACTTACTAAGTGCACGCTTTTTCATTGTACATACTGGACATTTTTTGTGCTAAAATATAATAAGTAGGGTTTTTGTAGCAAAGCATTCTATTTTTATGTTCTAATAGTGTATGTGTTAACATTAATATTCAGTTTAAACACTGGTGTATTTATTTTTAGCAACTTGACTCCTAGAAGCCTTAGACTAATTTTTAAATAAACATTCAACCAAAAATTATGAATTTCTTGAGATGTGGCCTTATATGTGGTGTTTTCTGTGTTCATAATGTGAGATTTTTTTAAATTTAGATTTTATTTAAATCAAGATTTAGAATTAGTTTGATTTTAAGTCAAAATAGAAAATGTATTAATCGTCTAGGCTTCTGGGAGAAGTTCTTATACTCTTCTTTCTTGGCATTAGAAAGAAGCAATATGAATTTATGAATATTCAAGATATTCAGGCCATTGTATTATATTCAGATTGCTTTAGGTTTGTTTTAGCCCAGTGTTTCTTTAAAGTTCCAGGTGGTTGGCATCCACTGAGTACACAGCTACTGTGGTTTTTATATGGGGCGTGTGAACTCTTGGTTACATACAGGCAGGTTCCTGCTACAGTAATCATGCTGTAACGGGAGGCATTTAAAATATTAGGTAACATTTAGTTGAAGTCACACAGGTCTTGAATGGTATTCATGGATAGTAAATACTACGAGCAGTTTTTCATATCAGAGAATACCCTAAAACTCCACCGTGGGAGTAAATTACATTCATTTCATGATTGGATATACCCTTCATTTTAGTAAAATACTTCATTTTGAAAGTTATTTTCTGCCACACTGTTACTGCGTAACACTTCTCAGCATTTCTGTATGCAAATTATTTTAAAATACAGTGATAAATTCATGTTTGTTTATTTTTTACTTTGGAAATTGTAGTACTCAGGTAGTATTTAATGAGGTGAATCATAATGTATTTTGAGGACTGCAACTATAACATTTATGACTGTAGCCTTAAGAAAAGGTCTATTATTCCTTCCTTTGCATCCCATGGTATATTATCAAAGTAGTTTACAGTCCCGCACAGCCTTACAAAGTTGTTTTACAATTTTTTATGGAAAACCCTTAACAAAAAAACAAAAATTGTATCATATTACAGTACCTATGAGTTATTGAATAATCACCCTTTGTAAATAAGTTGTTTAATACCAGAAGGCCAAAGAAAGTCTTGAGATTTTAGCTATTGAATGTGGTGACTTCATAAGATTTCTGTGCAAAAGGTAAGGTGATATTCCATCAACAGGCATTCTTTTGATGTCCATGAAAATTAGACTTCCATATTAGCTTCTTTCAAAAGGCTCATTCCCATTTTATTAAAATGTTTGTACTTGCAATTTTGTGTTTAATGTTTACTTTGTCTTTTCTTTCTTTAGCATTTAGGTGACTGTTCAGCAGTTTTCTATATGGCCATTGTTGGCCTTAAACTGCGCTAGTAACAAGCATGGTATTTATCTTGTATTGAAAATAAAAACAAAGTTTTGGTACTACTTTGCAGTTTGTTCTTTTTGTTTTGGCTTATAATTTTGTTAACTATTTCATTTCACCTTGAAAAATAACTGTTGGGGAAATGCAATATTAACAGAGATTAGACTTTCATTTGTATTTTGTCTAAGCCAGCATTTTTGACAGTGATTATTTTCTCCTGACATATTTTAAAAGTTTAAATTCAATCCATTTTGTGTTTGTGCATGCATGCATGTGCCAGCCGTGGCCCAAGTGTGGAGGTGAGAGGCCCACTTGCAGGAGTTAGCTGGCTTTAGTTGCTGAGACACCTGGCTAGAATTATAGTCACCTCATCTTAAGGAGATTATGGACCTCTCAAGACCTGTAGTATTAAAAACATTTTTGGATGATAGCAATAGTTACCAGTTAACTTGGGAACACTATAGGACATACTTTTAAATAACAGATTAGTTCCATTGAGGCTGGAGATATAACTTAGTTGGCGTAGAGTACTTGCATACAATACTGGAAGTCTGGGTTTGATATACAGCACCTGCCACAGTCCGGAACCTCTGTAATCCTAGCACTCAGGAATGTAATCCTAGCACTTAAGAATCAGAAGTTCAGACTTATCCTCACCTGATGAAATTCAGGCCATCTTCGGGTATATGAGAGTACACTTTAAAAAAAAAAAAAAGAAATATGTGATATACAATAGTTGAAGTTGTGAACAAATTCTTACATGCAAATACTAATTTCTTCTCAGTAACAGTACTGAGCAATTTAGACTTCTCACTAACAATGGTAAATAATTTAGACTGAAGTAATTCAGGTTTCCATCAGTGCTTGTGTGGCATTGTCAGGTTTCTTGTTACTGTTTATGCATATTTAAAAAAAATTATGGCCTGGCGGTGGTAGTGCACGCTTTTAATCACAGCACTTGGGAGGCAGAGGCAGGCGGATTTCTGAGTTCGAGGCCAGCCTGGTCTACAGAGTGAGTTCCAGGACAGAAAGGGCTACACAGAGAAACCCTGTCTCGAAAAACCAAAAAAAAAAAAAAATTATGTACTTTATGTATATGAGTTGACTGTAGCTGTCTTCAGACACACCAGAAGAGGGCGTTGGACCCCATTACAGATGGTTGTGAGCCACCATGTGGTTGCTGGGAATTGAACTCAGGACCTCTGGAAGAGCAGTCAGTGCTCTTAACCGCTGAGCCATGTCTATGCCTATTTAAAGTCGCATTCACTGGCATGACGTGAGGAGGCTCTGTCTGTACCTCTAGCCTTTGTGTAACAGCAGAGCATGTAACTGAGTAACGCTAGTGGGGATGTTTTCAGTAAGAACACATCAAACTAAAGCTGGAGTCAGCCACAGCCTGCACCGCCTCACACCTAGGGCATAGCTGAGGATGGCATTGAGTTTGGGATCCTGCCATGGTTGAAGTGCTGTCATAACAGGCATGATTCCATCCTCACTGTCTGCAGGGCTAGGGACTGAAACTCAAGACCTCCCTCACAATAGTCAAGCACTACCAAGTGAATTACAGCTCCACAAACTAAAGCTGTCTCTCCCGGCTACACGGGTTTAAGATGATCCTCCTAGTCTTCCTGCTTGGGTTTCCTAACCATGGCCATGAGATTAGCTACTCTGTGGGCCTTTTCAACTTTATCTTTCATTAACAGTGCTTAGGAATTTGTGTATACACATTGATTCTGATCAGGTATACAGGATGAACGATGCATACTTTGAAAAGTCCATAGAGTCAGTTGGGTGTGATATTGTGTGTCTGTAATTGCCAGCACTTGGAAGTGGAAGTTGAGAATCTAGTTTGAGGCTAGCCTAAGTAAGTTACCAGTGAGGCCCTATTTGTGTGTCTGTGGTGTTGTACAGGCACTTGCCTGTCAGATCAGAGGGCAGCATATGGGTTAGCTCTTGCTTTCCACACTCCAGCCTAGCAGGCTTATGATCGGATGGATGGGTCTCTTGTCTGTACATCAGATCTCAGTGTGAGTGCTGAGATTTAAAATGTGGATCACTATAGTCTGCTTTTGACTTGAGTTTTAGGAATCACGCCTTCAGGCTTTAATAGCGAGTGCATTTACCCAATTAGGGCCTACATTAATAGGAGGAAAGTTCCCACACTCTGTTTATAGAAAGCTGTAGCTTGTTTCCTTAACATACTGAAGTCTGAAGAGTAAGGCATGGTAAAGAGGGAAGCACCTACTTTCTGGAGAGAAAAAAAGACCTGCTGGCAGGGGAATTCAGTGCCGTATAGGTAGGGATTTAAAGACTGCTTGTTTGCCTGAAGCAGGTACTGAGGAACGTGAGAGGGATTTTTCGGTCTAAAGAGAGAACTCCCCTGGATCACTCTCTGTACACAAGCGCAGCTGCCTACACCTCCCAAATTCATGTAAATTGAAAAATACCCTAAGTATCACAGGAGTGACTAGTGTGTATGAAGGGGCACAATTCAGTTAGCATTTCAGGGCATCTTTACAGATTAAGTTGAGAAAGAGATGAGGTAGGTAGGACAATGGAATTTACAGTTTAATAGGTGATGCAATACAAGGAAGAGAAATACAGGGGCAGTGAGAAATGAAGTGCTGTGTAATGCTATGGCAGTGACAATGGAGCTTAAAGGGTGGACATTTAATATTTTTTGCTGTCCATTTTGTAATCTTCTAGTCATGATTTTGAAGTTGAGAACTCGGGTTAAATCTTAGGTTATGAAATTTTGTTGTTTTGTTTTTTTGAGACAGGATTTCTCTGTGTAGCCTTGACTGTCCTGGAACTCACTCTGTAGGCCAGGCTGGCCTCGAACTCAGAAATCCTTCCTCTGCTGCCCAAGTACTGTGGGATTAAAGGCGTGTGCCACTACCGCCTGGCTAGGTTATGTAATTTTTAGTTACAGTTGAAATGGAGATAAAACTAAATTTGATAAGAACTTGGACCAGTGGTGAAAGGAATGTGAGGAGTCCAGTTGCTATAGTCATACTTTTGTTTGAGGAAGCAAACTGAAACTACTCACTGAGATCAGTAGTATGAAGGACTTCTCTTTTGGGTGGAAACAAAACTTTATGAATGGGCAGTGGTGGCACACACCTTTAATCCCACAGCACTTGGGCAGCAGAGGCAGGCGGATTTCTGAGTTCGAGGCCAGCCTGGCCTACAGAGTGAGTTGCAGGGCAGCCAGGGCTACACAGAGAAACCCTGTCTTGAAAAACAACAAAACAAAAAAAACCTTTTTATCAAAGGACAATAAATACATAGAAGCTTATAGGTTTGTACTTAAGGCAGTAGGAAGTTTACAGTATTCATATTTAATGAACTGTCTACTTTGGAGTAAAAATTGAGAATATAGGTGTGGCTTATCTTTAGGAGAAGTAATAGTCTTAGCTTTATCAAGGCGTGGCAAATATTGAGTTTTAGGGTCCATTTTATTAGTGGCAGTACATTTCCATGCATCTATTTCCCAAGAGGAAATAACTGAACAAAGCTGTGGATGCAGGCTGTCATCTTAACTGTGCAGTTCGGTGGTTCTCAGCCTAGTCACCACATACAGCTTACCCATTCACTCCCTGTTTGAGGGTGTGTGTTATAGAATGGGTTTTGTTCTTTTAGCCTTTGATTTATTTTCGTCACACTTTATGGTAGATTTACAAAGGAGGCTCTGAGGAGTTGTGATGGGCAGAATGGAAGTTAGAAAGTGCTCCTGGGATTCCTATTTTAGTTACTTGCCCAACCCTATCAGGCTAAGCCCCGCTGTCATAATTTTTAAGTTCTATTGATAATTTACCTGTAATTATGAATATGTTTATAAATGGTCACTTCCACAAATCTTGAGTACTTATTTTTTCCATACATCTTGTGCGATGCTTTGTATTTAAGTCAGGGCAGAGCAAGCAGCTCAAGTAATATTTTATTATTTTGTTTTCTTGATGTATCACATATGTATTTATGCAGGGGCAGAAGAATTGACTTAGTGGTGAAGAGTGTATTCTTTCCTTGGCAAGCATCCAAGATTGGTCCTTACTCAGTATCCACGTCTGGCAGTACTTAACCTCCTTGGACACTTGGACTTAGGTTCACAGACACACACGTGTACACAATTATTACATTTTTTAAATATTGGTACAGACTCGACATTTGTGATTAACTGTCAGATTACCAGGGGCTGGAAAGATGTCAATTAGGAGCACTGGCTGTTCTTCCAAAGGACTCAGGTTCAATTTCTAGCACTCAGTGGCAGCTCATAACTGTAATTCCACTTCTACACAAGGCATGCTCATGGTACATAAATATGCATGCAGGCAAACTTTTAGACACAAATTATAAACTATAAATTAAAGTTTATACAAGTTTAGTGTAGAAAACTGGGCCTCGTGTTCCACGCTGAAGCATCTCACCCATCCTCGGAACACAGCTGATTTAGAAGTTACGATGCTCAGCTAGCAGCTCTGTGAATTTACTGGTGGGCGGCTCTTTACAGCCAGCAGCTGGTCTCAAGTTACCCTATGAGTAAACAAGCTCTTTAGAGAACTCGCATGTCTTAGAAAGGTAGGGTGTATATCTGCACACAAACTACAGTTTGTAGCCCCCTTTACTGCGCTGGTTTAGGTGAATGATCTGAGTAAAGTACACAGTGATGTAGTTGCCTTCCAATTATTTCCCTTCCTCACATATGTGTTAGGTACAGAACATGGCAGGCATCCTTTATCAGGCCCAACCTGAACTGTCAAATGAAATACAAAATTCACATTATTTTTTAAGATCCTTAGTGTATGTGTGTTTATTTTTGAGTATTCCCAAGGGAGTTTAGTCTCCTTGCCTTCTTTTTTTTTTTTTTTTTTTAACTTAGTACCGCTGTAAGCTGTACCCTGGTTGCTCTGGGCCTTGACCAGGCTGGCCTTGAACCCAGAGATATGTCTCCTAAGTTCTGGAATTAAAGGTGTGAACCCCCACACCCTGCTTCTGTCAGGTTCTGATTCAATCCTCCCAAACTTTTTTGCTTAGTGGCACAATCCACTGTATAGGAATCTGG